AAAGAGAAAAAAAAAAAGGGGGGGGGGGGGGGGGTGACTGGGGGTGGCTGCTGGAAAAGGGGATGGACGAGCTGAAAAGGGGGTGAGGATATCAAACTCAATGGTTTCTCTGCGCCGTGACCGTGACAGAATCACATTCATATAAATACCATCGTTCTCGTCTCGCAGGTATTACTATGCCCAGAACATGCGTCGGAAAAACATCACTAGATCTCCAGGGGGGCGTCAGTGTTAAGGTAGGTAATGGAAAGGGGGTAGGTAGACTGACTACCTGCTATATCCTGGCCCTATGAAATCTCGTGACCACATTTCTCCAATTGGTGTTAGGTCTGGCAATAATGCTAATCCCGGAACTCGCTCGGCTCCTGTTTCCCTCGGGTGCTGGATGTGGCGTGGTGTGGTGAATCAATCACGTTGTGAGAGAGAACTGTTTTTCTCCTTGCCACTGCAGGGACAGATTCCCACCTCACTCACTCACTTCCTCTCTCTTCCGTTCATTCATCTACCAGCTCAACTCCTTTAACCCCCCAGACCCCACCTAGGCCGGATCTCCCGTCAGCGGAACTATTTATTCATCGTGAGAACCCCATCCCCTTCTTTTTTCCAGGGTCAATCTTCCCCCCCTCACACTTACTCACTTACTCACACCTACTCACCAACCCTACTTCCCTTTTCCCTTTTTCCCCTTCCCCTTTCCCACGTTCCTTGTTTCGCCCGTCCTCTCTTCCCAGCCGGGCCAGAGAGAACATCCCCAAGGTTAGATAGTCTAGGTGTCTAAACTACAGTGATACGATGCGGACGGAAACAACTCTTCTAATTCTTGAACTCGCACAGTTCGATTACAAAGAAATAAAACAACAGGATGCTTTCTTTCTAGATGAACGTTGCATGCACCTCTCCCAATTGAATACTCAAGACGGTGAATGTAGCTAGTTCGTGTAGGAATATATCTACCTACCTATCTATTTAACCTACCTACCTACCTTACCTCCCTCCAACAACCCAACCTAACCCAGCCCAGCAAGCAAACAGGCCCTTAAGCAATCGTTGCGAGTCGATGAGGAATGAGTACGGAGTAATAAATAGTAAAAGAGATAAAGAAAAAAAAATTCAATGAAAAAGTCTAAGCAATCTTTCTTCTAACTACACTCTCTTTCAGGGCTGACTAACATGGGAACTAATTTCATAGCACACAGCTAAGTAGCTACACATGCATAGATTACATATCATATCACCCCAGGCCAGACCGTCTGATTAAGTAGTTCTAGCTCTAGGTATCTATCTATCCATGTATTCAGTCATTCATTAGGTTACTTAGTTCATTCATCACCTCTCCAGGGTTATATACACCCATCCCTCCCCATAAAAAATCTTCTCCTCCTGCCCCCCCCCCCCCCCCCCCCCCCACCCCCCCCCCTATCCCTACCCTCTACCTACCCTACACAGACAGACACGCCTAATAACTTCACTGCACATGCACACCATGAAACCCCAACCCGACCGCGAACCCGCACTCGGCCCGCCCCAGCTCCGTCATATCCCTGGCGTCCAGACACAATAGATAGCTCTTCCTGCCGAACCCGTCGAGTACGACGCTCAGGAGTACGCCGTCGTCTTCCGCTTTCTCCTCCTCTTCCTCTCGTCCTTCTCCTTTTTTTCCTTCTCCCGACGACGACGATGACGTTGACGGCCGCGCCACGAAGATAGCCTCCCCGGGTGTATGCCCCCGCGGCCCGTCCCAGTACACCGTCTCGCCCGTCCTCACGTCCGTCTTGGCCAGCGCGTCGCCGAGCGTGCTGCGACCCCGGCTCGGGATGCTGTAGGCGTACCGGTAGGGCCGCGTCGCGTACGCCGGGTTGATGGTCGGCAGCTCGCCCACGCGCGGCGTGCGGATCTCCGAGACCTGCTCGTAGACGCCGCGGACCGCCGGCTTCTTCTTGTTTTTATTGCCGTTTTCGCTTCCGCTTCGCAGGGCCTCGGCGGGGACGCGGAACTTGTGCCTTATCAGCCGGGCCTGCGCGTCGCCGGCGCGCTTGCCGTCGCCCCAGAACGCATTCTGGTCCCGGCGCAGGATCACGTCCATGTAGAAGGCGCTGATGATGTCCAGGGTGGGGTACTGGATGACGTCGGCGAGGATGACGACGTCTTCACCGTCGTTGCTATCGTCGTCGTCGTCGTTGTCGCATGTCTCCTCGAACGCGTTGACCGTGTGGAAGTAGAACCCGGCGGGGCTCTCGAAGGTGGCCACGACGCCGCGGTCGCCGCGGCGGTCGATGACGAACCACTTGCACAGCTTGGCCGCGTCGAACGGCTCGATGGCCTCGGCCACGTTGCCCTGCCACGGGACGGAGATGCCGCCCCAGCCCAGGTGCGACGACGGGATGCCGAAGACGACGAAGGACGACGTCAGGAAGAACGAGTGGATGTAGGCGGGCTTGGCGTCGGCCTGGCAGATGGTCGCGAGGATGTCGGTCTGGCCCGTCGCCGCGCTGGCGCGGAAGATCCGGTACGTCGTGTACCGGCCGATGTCCAGGTTGAAGTTGTAGACGTCGCCCGTATGCGGGTCGCGCTGGGCGTGCGCACAGCTGATGGGCCCGGTGAGGAGCGGGTGGAGGTTTTCCTGCCGGGCCAGGCCGATCGGCTCGAGCGTTTCGGCATCGACCTCCTTCAGGATGGCGGCGTCGGTCGTTTGCCATACCGTCTTTTTCTCCGCCCGGTGCCCGGTGGTGCCCGAGTTGGATGATTTGAGGCCGGGGACGTTCGGCAGGACGGCGACGGAGATGTTGTGCTCGCCCGGCGTCGTCAGGGGCTCCGGGGTGCGCGCCTGGAAGACACTCATGGCCTTGCCGAATATGCCTATGCAGGGGTCGAGACGCTGGGCGAAGCTGCGAGTCGGCATGACCCCGGTCTTGCGGATGGCCTCGTAGCGCTCCCGGCTCTGTCGTCGGGAGGTATATTCCACTCTGGCACCTTCCTCGCCATTTTGAGGATCCGGGATGATATCGAACTTGTGTGACTGGCTCAGGCCATCGAACCAGTGGCTGATGCTGAAGGTGCCTTTGGGGGTGTCCTCGATCTCATACTGCCCGGGCCCGGTACGATAGAGTGCACCGGCAGCCCACGAAGGGATCTTTCCCTTGACAACGAGCTGTATCGGGCCTTGGACCTCTGTCAAGCCTAGAAACTATGGTTGTAAAGCAGGGATGATCAGCCCAGGAGTAGAGTAGATAGGGGTCGTTTAACATGGAAAACCTACGCCTGCCTCGTTTGGCCAGTCATCGAATTGCCCATCAGTACAGTTGTTGACAACATTATCGAACGCGGCATCGGCGGTCTTTTCCTCAGCCTGCTGACCGGCTGTAGTAGTCGCCTGTTCGATATCGGGTGTCATTCTATCGTAGGTTACAGGGAACTCGTGAGATTTGTGTGCAAGCGTTGGTGTTGCCGACTTTTCTTAGTAGGTAGGTGGCTAAGCTGACCAGTGCTGGAGGTCTGAAGAAAGCTGGCTCGACTTGAACTGTTTCAAGGACTTCCCAGGCTTATATGCTTGCATGTATGATCATAGAATCAATCAGGATGATTATCTACTTAGGTATGTTGGTATTTGAGTGACAGAAATTGCAGTAGAGGCAATCACCCCAGGTCGACATCAAAGCTCCTCCGAGTCAAACAAGGTCGAGTGAATTGCTTGAAAAACATTGGACGGACGCTTGGTCGAAGAAGTGATTCGTAATACCTAAGCGAGTACGAGTATGATGAATGAAGAGGTCCAATGGCAATCCAAGTTGTTGGCGCGGAAGTGTTAAGTGTCGGCTGTTGAGTTACGCGTGGCCCTCTGCGAGGAGAGGACAGTTGGTCAGGTGATTCCTCTGGTTATTACAGGTGAACGCAGGACCCGAAATTCCTCGACTTCTCCAATGACTCCCACCCGACGTGAGATGCACATGTAGAGTTAAAGATATGAGGAACATCAGGGTCTTGAGTGTAAGGTTGACATTTGCCTGTTCATGATTCATGACCCACTATCTCCCGAGGTCTGCTTCAGAAGCTCTAGCCCTCCTCTAGCCTCTAGGTAAGATCGGATCACCGGATTTGGCAGTACTAGTGCTGATATTCCACTGCTATTGGCTGCGCATTCGCTTAATACTGCGGGTCTACCTCGCTAACCCACTATGATAAGCGGTACTGGACTGCAGGCCGGTAAGCGAGTGCGAGTTGGAGCTCCCAACTTCCTGAGCGTTATTCCAGGAAATATCGTTCTATATATCCGTAGTTTCTCTCCGATAGAGCCTCAACCTTTCAAGGAAATATCATATTCGAGTCTCCAAGTGGAAGATGTCTGATTAGATGAGGATCCGTATGAAGTGTATATACTCTCCCGCCTCCATTGACCGATCTGTCTGCCTGTAAAATTGATTAGTGAATGAATGCCCAGGTGGACAACCAAAAGTCTAGTGGTGTCAGGACCGGCCACGGTACTGCTCCTAGAAGCTGGACTGGACTATCATATGTAAAATAAGCAGTATGTATATATATAAGGTGAGCTCCGAAGAGGTGTATTCGTCTGCTTGTATTTAAAGGCATCTTCTGAGTATTAACAATTCCCGTGGATAAATCTTCTGAGACGCTGCATACAGATGGGCCCCTGAAAGAAGAAGCCCCTGACTTGTCCAGTGATGGATGCTGCCGGCAGCATGGGTCGTTTAGCGTCAAAGGTGTACAAATACTCTTTTGCCAAATGAGAGATCAATGTAGTGCTTCTTCAACCAGGCACAATGATTCAGTCGTCGGCCTGTATGTTAGTCTTTGGAATCCTGCTCACCAAATTCCATCTACTGTGTACTCCTTAAAAGGTGGGTCTTTAGCGTCCAAGAACGACACTTTTTCTCGGCTACCCCGCCCTGGCTGAAGCAAAATGGTGAGCGATATATGCAAGCTTTGCATTCTCCCACCAACCAACAATCAACATGCTATGGTGGTCCAAGATCACCACCTCCACAGGTCCCATAGCTCAGTTGGTTAGAGCGTCGTACTAATAATTCTCTTCCTTCAAAGAGTATCATTGGTCCATGCGAAGGCCGGGAGTTCGAGCCTCCCTGGGACCATGCATTGTTTTTTGCAATTTTTTCCACACATGCATTATCGTGAAATTGTTGCTTTACCTGTAAGATATTGGAATTGGTTGGTAGTGGAACAATTCTCTTTGTTCCAGACCAGTCAGTCATGGAGTTTTTGTTTTTTTCCTTGGCGGATTTGATTGTTGGCAAGTCCTGAAATGAACAAAGTTGATGGAGTAAGCTACACACTTGCGTTCCTCTGCTGTCAAGGTACATACAGACTGTAGTTATGACCATCGCAGCTCTAGAAAAGTTCAAGGCAGAGATTATGTAACTCATGAACCAGGAAACTTGCGCGCTGTGCGTTAGAAAGCGGACATCCCCTGATTGATGTACCTGAGGGCCACTTTGCGCGAGACTACCAGCCCTGATTGATACTCTCTACATATGGGATACTTAGATCTCGAGGGCCCTCTATTCATCATCATCATCATCATCAATACTCGCCTTGACCGGCCAGCCGACCCTGGTCCGAATGAAATCAACAATATCGTCAATCTCGTCGGGAATCTTGTACCAATGACCAAGATCGGGGTAGGCCTTCCACTGGACCTCATAACCAGCGGCTTGTAATGTTTTGGCCGCAGCCTCTCCCGCTTCGACGGGCTTCTTGTCGTCCGCGACGCCATGAACAAGAAACACAGGAGTCAAGCCCGCCGTGGCTTCTCGCGTCTGGTGAGAGATCGGCTCCAGTCCGACGAGATCTCTCACAAAAGACGAGACCAGCACCCCCGGGCTTCTCGGCTCCGTGCCATCTCCATTATTATCATCTCCTCCACTGGGGGCGAACGGGTCGTCCTCATCCATCTCTTCCGTCTCCCTCATCGCGTCCTCGATGTCATTCCGGTACAGCAGGTAGCCAGACATGCCGATGTACCCGCCGAGGCGATGCTCCAGACCGAGCAGGATGATAAGCGACATGGCGCAGCCCTGGCTCAGTCCGCCGATGATGACATTCTCAGGGCCCCCCACCTCGGACATCTCCCGGGACACGAATTCCCGGATCGCCACCGTGGACTCCGACAGGCCCTGCAGCTGCGTCTCTCGCCTGTACTCGGGATCGCGGAGCCGCGCGACGTCGAACCACTGCGTGAGCATCGACCTCCTGAAGGCAGTGGAGCGGCGGCGCTTGGCCGTGGGGAAGATCCAGCGGACGCCGGGCAGCAGTCGTGACAGCTTTCTCCCGCTCGAATCGATTCCGGTCTCCAGGAGCTCCGTGCCGAACTTCTCGCCGTTGGAACTGAGACCGTGCAGGAATATCACGGAATGCGTGTGCGTCGACGTGGGTTCGACGACGAAGGTGGCCTGTGGATTTGGCTTGGGCCGACCCGGTGCTTCTTCGTGGTTTTGAGAGTGCATCTTGCTTTTTTTTTTCTATTTTTCTTTCTTTTTTCTTTTCTTTTTCCTTCTTCCTTTTTCAAAATCGAAAGGCTCGGGTTGATGATGCTGCCTTACGAGTACCGGGCAATATTATAAGTGCAGACTGACCTCCGTCTGCTTTCCTTTGTTGCGTCAGGGGTCCTGGCGCGTGGAGCCGGGAGGGAGTGCTGTGAGTCACACTCAATTGCGCAACTTCATCGTCACACACCTCGAGAGCTGGGATGCTCGTGTGGCCGCGTAAGTACGAAACCCATCGTCTCGGCTTCGGCAAAGGCGCATCCTCGTGCCCGGAGGGAATCACTCGATTATCAATAAGCCAACCTATCTCTACAAAACGTGGCAGGTCCAGTAGATAGAGCAGACCATCAATTGGATTTTTCGTAATACATAGTGTTTTTCAGCATCGGCTGTCTCCTAGCCACCTTCGCCAAGTCCGCTCTCATCGTCGCCGTTGCCGTTGCCGCGGACTTGGGCCAGCTCAAATGGCATTGGTACCGCCGCGCACCAGGCGGAGAGAAAGGGACAGGGGATGATGATGATACGCACCGGGGACGCAGCCTCCACGACATGGAAGTCTTTGACGATGCGAGTCGAGGGGCCCTGGGGCTCAGCTGTCCTGATGACGAATCTGCACATCTGGTCACAGCCGGTCGCGGTGTTGGGTGCGTTCACCATCGTCGTAGCGTTGGCTATGGAGCCCAGCGTCCAACTGCTCATCGTGATACCCATGAGACCTTACCCACGGTTTGATGGTGTCGCTCAATCAACTGCGCCATGGGTTCAAACCTTTGACGATGCGGTATCTTGGGGTGGGGGGGACTCGGAAGTCCAAGACGTCGCATCCCCCACGATCGAGACGACTTTGAACGCCGCAATATACGCCACTGATGTAGAGACCCAATTTGGGTTCGATGTCGTATGTCCCACCGAATACTGCGAGTTCACTGAGTTCGAGAGTCTTGGGTATTGTCATACCTGCGAAGATATGACCGAGGCGGCCGTGCTGGAGGGGTGTGACTTGACTCTTACCTGGGATCACTGGCGTGAGGTCTGGCATGGAGTTGCCGATGGCAGTCGTACACTCAACAACACGTGTAGGGTCTACTTCAACTTGTCCGGAGACTACTCATACGACATCACGTTCCAGAAAGATTTCCAGCTCAATTATACCCTTGACTCAGTCAACCAAGCTTACTATGAAGGCGATCAAGATCCGTTAGGCATTGGAAAAGGCGGTTGGGATATTATGGCAACCAAGCACCCTAAGCTATCCATCCCAAATAACTTGGATCATCAACCGAGCTTAGATATGGTCCTTAGATGGTCCTTATGATAATGACGATGTCGATATACTGAGAAGTGGGGGATGGAGCCTGGCGGAGCGGAAAGGCGAGCGAACGAATTGGAAATTCCTTGTTTCCCGATACTGAAGCTGCATTGATCTCGCTGGGCAGCGTATAACTGGGTTACAACTCAATAAAGAGGGCCAGATGGACTATCTGTTCTAAATGCTACGGTTTGCTCCTCGAGCCCGCGTGTTCAGAAGTTACTCCCTCTCGGTCAGGAATTCAACAATTTCGCCCAAAGTGGTCGATATAGTACGAGGGTCATACGAGGTCGATCCAGGAATCATTTACGTTTGGAATGCGAGCTTAGAGCGCGCGGTGCCATGGACAACACTACTTCCGTCTTCTCCTATTCCCTGCAAAGCAATGGCTATTCGAAGTTGGGCCATGGTCCAGATGAGGGTCCGTCTTCTGACCCGATTCAAGTTGCGATTCGGAATCAGGTCGAGGGTCAGAGCACATCTAAAGACACCCGGGAGAAGACATGCTTCGCCACCACGGGAGATGCCTTTTAACTTCACCACGCTGGCAGACGGCAGCAGCAGCGCCAACCTCTGCACAATACGCCCCACATCCTCAACCCAGACGGAGATAGACCGAACCACCAAGGCATCCAGCAACAACCACGCCGTAATCAATGCGCGCGGCGGCCTCGAATGGCTGACGCCCAGTGTAGGTAGCCCGAGCGTTGAATCGCTCGATGAGCGACCGCGCCGATAAAACGTCACCACAGGCCAGGCATATGTACGGCACCGAGAGCTATACATCCACGTGCGGTGGGAATGGCTCTCGATCCCCGTCGGCATCATCCCCCTCGGAACAATGTTCCTCCCGGCTACCGTGTGGCTCACCAGAGCGCGAGACGAGCACCTGTGGAAGAACTCCAGTCTGCCCATGTTATTCCTACTTAGCTCCAAATTGGCGCCGTAGCCGGGAGATAGAGGAGTCCAAACTGGACGACGAAGATCCGGTAGGGCCTATGGGCGCCATGGAGAAGAGAGCGAAGTCGACCCGGGCTTCTCTGGTCGTGGATGAAGGGGGAAGGCTTAGGTTTCGTTCGAGATTGGAGTTTGATAGATAGATAGATAGAGGATGAGTAGGCTAGGTAGGGTGTCAGTCATGCTAGATATTGGATATACCTGTCAGGCAAAAGGGGGGGGGGGGGGGGGGTTGAAGGTTACTATCACGAGGCTTGAGTCGGTTAGATGTATTGCATATCAGAGCTCGAATAAGAAGTTTTTTCCCCCTTGTGGGATGATAATAGAAATACTCTTCGTTTATTCACTTAACTCCATCCAGAAGTGAGGGATACCGTGATATACCCAGGTTCGTTGAAACTCCATACCGATCGGAATAATGACCGGCGAGGATGTTCTCCTAAGATCAATGGCGTTTCTATCACCTTCATTGAGGTCCGTACGTGTATCCCGATAGGATGTTGTTATCACTCCAAGGTTAAGTAAATCTTTGATACTTACGTGGAACCGGGACAGACACTTGATCAACACCCCTTATTCTCTCTCCCTCGTTATCTGGGTCTAATTCACCAAAAAACAGATAAAAAAAATTCAGAAGACAAAAAAAAGAACATATTCAAGCCAAGTGATACGTCCAAATATATAATCAGTCCAAAAACTCTCCAAGCTCTCAACTTATATAACTACTTGTGTAGTTAGCAAGGAAGTCTAGCATCGCAGCCTCGGCATACACACATACATACAATATAAACCATACAGCACCGTTCCCAACTCCACCCAGGGAAGGGAATATCTATCTATCTCGCACCGCAAAGCAAAGCAGACGAGAGTAACATCTAAGTAGTCAACGTAATTAGATAAGACTATGTACAGCCCCAACCTCCTCCACCTCCTCCTCCTCCTGCTCCACCTCCTCTAATCTAGAAACCCCCGTCCCTACTCTCCCCTCCCTAGAGAGTGGAGAAAGGACATGAACAAAAAAAAAACCTGGGGCGTCGATGCGGAGAAGCCCTTACCCCAGACTTTGATTTCCCCACCAATGAGCCTGAGAGGGGGAAGTCTTTCTTCTTCTAATTCGAACCGAGATGCATGCCGGGAATGGAGTGAAGGTGTGTATTGGTTTCGTAAGTCGCAATGATATCTATACTCTTAGACTACATGAAATGAATGGTTTCTTCGTAACCTAGACCAGGTTGCTCGTTTCCCCCCTCTCCCCTTTCTACGTTCTGCCGTGTGAAAGCTTCGTATGGTCTATTCTATACGTACCCACGGAAGGGATTTTGGT